ACCATCTCGATTGGGTTCAATTCACAATGAAATTTGGAAAGGAAAATAATTTCATGGCCCCGTCTCTTGACTAGTTCCTCAAGCATGGATACCTGGTTCTTGAAGTCATCTTGGTGGCTCAGCCAACGAGCCATGCAGCACTCTTGATTCTCAATTGGGCACACTGGGCGGCATTTTGCCTGAGCTTTAAATTTCTGTATCCACGCTCCTTGAGAACTGTTTCCAGACCCTTTGCCTCTCCATTCCATGTTGTCATCTTTTGAATCTTTCCTCGCTTGGAGGGATCTGGGTTCGACATGGGAATGACTATGTCTTTCTGTTTCCGCTGTGCTCCACCCTCAGACTTGTTCATTTCAAATGCCTTTAGTGCATCTGGAGGCAAAGATCCATGGGCAGATGAGTTGTCAAATATCCAGAGGGCCTTCTTGCCAGGATGTGCTGCTTCGGAAATATCAATGGCAGCTTCCATCTGCTCAAGGAGCTGTGGACAATCCCACCATGGATCACCATTAGCGCCAGGGAAGATAATTTTGCGTGCATCACGAATAACTTCCCCAGTGGCAGCATCAACCATGATTAAACGGTCTGTCTCAGGATTTATGAAGTCAGAGACATGGATCAGCCTTCCGCGCCCTTTCTTTCGTAGTGGCTGCTTTCCTTTTTCTATCCTAAGACCTTGTGAGCTGAATCACACACACTATCTGGCTGGAACTTGCCAAACATTTGCAGTCTGTTCATTAGCATGCATACATGACTCATCATGGAAGAAGGGAATGAGCTCTGTCTCCCCTAGTCCCTGGGTTTGTGCAATTCGCTTCAACAATTCTTCACCCTTGACTTCAACATATTTGGCCATCCTGCGCTGATACTCAGCCATTTTGGGGAGGAAGACATCATTGTGATACTGGCCAACATCCTCGCGCTCGTGTCCATCAACATAGACACCTGTTTTCACTTGAGAGTAATTCCACTCAAGCTTAATGAGCCAGCGGCGCGCTGTTCGCAGACTGATTGATTTCGTGTTCTGGACCCCAGCAGATGGCAGAATTGTTTTGTTGACCTGGTTCGCAAGGATGCGTGGTGTGACCTTCCCTGATGGGAGACTGCGAAGAAAGCTGAGAACAGCAGTGCGAATTTCATCCCGATGAAGGAAGGATCGTCTGACACGTTTGCCACCCTGCCGCTCTGCAGGAAGGGTCTCAAAGATTTCGTAGTGTCTTGCCCAGTCCCGAATGCGACGGGTGAACCACACACCCTCCTTTTTATGCCAGCTTGTGGCAACCTGACGACTTGCTTCAATGCGTCTATATCCTTTTATGACCAAGGTTGAGAAATTCAAGAGGACCATAAGCGCATTAAGGCGAGACAGAGGCAGAGTTTTCCGGCCTTTCTTGATGTCCATCTGTATTTTTTTGCGCAGCTCTGCCCATGGCTGCTTGGTCCCCTTTGGCCCTGCAATATTTTCATTCAGCTCCTCTTCCCAGGCTTCCAAATCATCATCTGGCACCACCATATTCTCAACCTCAGCCTCAATCTCCTCCACTGCAAGAATTTCTGCTGTCTCGGGTGAATCAACAGGAGTCATTTCTGCCTCTGAACCAGATGACTGTTCCGGACTTGCAGAGGCACGCCGTCTGCGGGGGATAAGAAACTCTGCCTGAGACAGCAGTGTTGAGCTAGCAGGGATGTCCATGTCCACAATCTCCACAGAGGGTGACCGAGGGCGCGATGGCATTCTAGATGGTGCACGACTTGCAACACAACTGGAACTGCCACTAGAGGTGAACCTAAAATTATCCAGCCTGGTCTGAGTTTGCCAGGATTTCTTGTATCGACGCAGAGTTCGAGCAGATTTTGACATGACATCAAGACCTTTAATGTACACTTTTGGACGCTCTGCATTCAAAGGGTTGGAAAAAATAAATGAGAGAAGTTCAACACACTCACCTCTCTTTTGCTGATTCTCTCGGACCTGTTTTGGGGGCAGCCACTCTCCATCGTCGGTTGGATCAACCTGTCGAGCAAGTGCTTTCATGCTTTCCAGCCCCTCTTCTTCATCTATGTCCCAGTCTGCATCAGAACCCAGCTCTGAGTCAATGTCTGAATTAGTTAGTGCCCTCTCCTCAGCTTCCCAGTCATTGCGAAGACTGTCAAACATGGTGCACTGCTCTTCATCATCTGTAGCAGTCTCTGAGTCGCTCTGATCCGGAGTAGCACCAAATAAGGGTCCTGCAGGCTCCGGACTAGGAGATGGAGGGGCAGTGGAAGGAGTAGAGACAGCTGGTGAGGATCTATTGGATCCCTGGTTTCTGAGGCCAGAGACATTGGTTCTCTTCTTCTTGTGGGCAGGCATTTCGGAGGCAGCACCTATCGTTCCACCCATCGGGTATATGTAGGTCAGAACAGCAATAGATTCACGCAAGAATTCCGGGTGAACATCGGACTTTGGTCATGTGTGACACCATCTGACTTTTGTATCCCGAACGGCTTGTGAATTTATTTTCAAACTCAGTCAGAAGACTCTCCTGAATGAGAGCTTTAAAATGAGCCTACTTTCGTCCAGATTGAAGCAGAACTGGGGAAGTTGGCCAAATGTTGATACCTGTTTAACTTGTCATGTGATTTCCGGCCGAACGGCTCGTCAGAAAAATCTGAAAATATCTGGGAAAGGACTATTCGATGAGATCTATCGATTGCCAAAGTTTCGGAATTTTTGAAGAAAGTAAGTTTCAGTCGATGTTTTTGACTGTCCCCTACTGTATCTCGGAAATCATTGACCCAACGGGGCAGTGCAGTTTTATCGGCCTTCGGAATCAGGAAGGCAGGAGATGCAAAGGACGAGTTAGATGGCCGGATTCGGCCAGCATCCAGGTGTTTTTGAATAAGGGTATGCCAAGCCTCCTTGTATTTTCTGGGGCTCTGGTAGGTTCGCTTCGAAAGCGTCTTGTAAGTGTCCTTCACTTTTATTTCACAGAGGACATCGGAAGGCAGATCATCAACGTGCGGGATAGGTTCAAAGATGGATTTGTATTCACTCTTTATCGCGTCGCCTAATTTCTGTCGACGTTCGACCTCTACGAGAGTCTCAATGCGTTCGCGTACGGCTGCGACTACATCAACGTCGCGCACAGTTTCAAACAGGTTTGCATCCGTCAGGGCCTGCAGGCGAGTCGCGCACACAGCTTTCAACTCATTGGCGAGCAGCTTGTGGTCAGCTTTCGTCTTCTTTAGAAGTTCCCGCAGCCGGGGCTTAGGCGGAGGAGGGGGTGATGCAACAATTGGTTCAAGAAGATTGTAATTGGTACGTTTATCGATTACAGTTCGGTCGGCGTGGTCAATGACTATACAGTTACGTTTAAGGAATGACAGACCCAGTATCACAGGGGCACAGAGGTTGGGCGCTATCAAGGCGTGTACAGTATTTGTCTCGTAGGAAAGGTCATCAGAGAGAGCTTTGAAATTTACGTATTCAGTTAACGGCGGAGGACTGTTGCTGTTGGAAAAGGCGGCGGAGACAGGTACAGGTTCATGCAGGCGATGGTGACGGAGTCCAAGAAGGTCGGCAAGGTCTTCGTGCATCAAGACTAGATGCGCACTGTCATCAATCAGTCCGCGTACATGAATAGGGTTGGACATTGGGCCTTCCATACGGAAGTCCCAGTAAAGGTGAGGTTCACTCACAGTAGAGTCAACACTGTCGTTGGGGTCATTGACCTCAGCAAAACCAACACACGTGCATTTCAATGTATTTTCGCTGTTTCGGGGCAGGGATCAGGGAGCATTTGACGAATTTAAGCTTCGCAGGCATCAAGCCATCGCTTTGAAGCCCTTGCGAGCAGAAATGGCGCCATGTACACATCCCCGGAATAATTGTTCGGCCCGGGATTGAAGGTACGTGCATTTCTACCAGGGATAAGGGAGCGCTCGAGGCGAGGACATCTGTGGTGGAGAGGCCGACTTTAGCGCTTCGACCGACCAAATCTTTGGGCCAGACATTATATTGTGCAGCCAATGTTGTTGCGCCTCAGGTAGAAATATTTCCCGTACAATTGGCGTCGAGTCATACAGCGAGTCTTATGTTCAACAAAGAAATGGACAAGTTCACTCATTGTGATTATTCAATCCACTACACAAGAATGTCTGAAGACACAAGTGTGCCTTTTGTGACCAGAAAATCATGCCCAAGCCGAAAATTTAAATGTAGACATAAAAGTATGCGCATAACAAACATAGATAATGGCCCTGCTGTGACAGCGGACTACCAGATTATATAAAAGAATATGCACATTGGGGCCAGAATTGGAAAATCAAACAATATTGCACATCAGCAAATTCGCAGACATCTGAGAGTGAAACTTCGTCTCATGGGTCCTGGAGCGATGAGATCCGGTTGTGGGGCTCAGGTATGAAGTGTGTGTGGACAGATACAGAAGTTTCCTAACCTTCTGCTGTCCAGCAACTCGGCTTTCTCAAGACCGCATCCCATCTCTGGCTCACTCCAGGTGTGCAAATCCCACAGTTCATCTGTACTGTTTAAGCTGCACAGTTCAGTTGACCGTTGCCTAATTGGGAAGTGTTTAAATCCAACACCTTGATTTGTTAAATCATCCCGGACTATGACCTACATAGATAGCTGCTCCCTTCGAACATGACACTCAAGCAAATTTAACCGCTGGAGAACGGAGATAATGAATACACCAGAGTTGAGAAACTCAGTGGGTATGGATTTTCTCCCAGAATTGATTCAGTTCATCAGAGCTGGGAAGGACACACCAGCTGCATTAAGCGACAGAAAGGCGAAAACTTCTGAGAGCAAGCAATAAATTGAACTAATCTGTTACACGTTCAAACATCATACCGCAACTCCTCTCCTTGAGCACCACCCAATCAAACTACCACGCCTTGGTCCAGGTGCTGTAGCTGTTCCTACTTGCCCAGTCGAACTCTGGCAGCCAGCCAGTGTAGAGGGTGTCCTGCACCATTTGTTAAATGGAAAAGAATGGCTGAACCAGGATTCGAACCCATGACCTTCTAATTTTTGTAGCCTGAGATGCTCTTTAACCAACTGAGCTATTCTGCCGATAGTGTGAAACAGAACAAATCCAGACTCCAGCACCATTGCCTCTGCATGTATGAGGGACTCAGCCATCCGTTCCTCCACCTCCGTGATCTCCAGATCTCGCTCCATGGGTATAGGCCAGGTGGGTGGGGAAAAAAATGGAACAGCGACATGGTTAGCAAGTCATGGAAGCATGCAGAGAGACTGAGTACTTATCGCTGAGGAGCACTCAGCTTGCAGACCAGCCGCAACACCCATACATACGAAACCAGAATCGAAGCCGCAAGAACACGCAAGTTCCCCTCGGAAGTACATCCATACTTCCGATCGAGGTTCCCTGATGTCTGCATGGCACAAAGGATCGACGACGCTGGACCTGAAGCCCGAGTAGTCTGCGGGGGTCAACAATGTCCCGAATTCAGTCATCCCAGCTGTGGTGGAGACGCCTCCCAGCGTCCTTTCAACCACCCACGTCACCAGAGCTGGGCCCAGATGGCACGTTTCAGATTCATCAGCACTCACGAGGTTGATCCCGCCGGTTTGCTATCCCACATCCCTTTAGGCCCCCGATCGCTGACTATCTTTCTTAGCTTTTATGCAGATTGAACACCCCTCAGTGTTGCGCGGCGTGTGGTCAGATTTTGGAGACACTGTCTCTTGGGTGTGGGGAGACCTTGAGAGTTGAAGTCAGAACTGGAGCACATGTGAGACGATACATTGGGCGGGGAGAAAAACTCACTGTCGAGCCGCCAGCTGGTTCTTCGGAAATCTCCAACAAGAGACAAGGCCTACGATCTAACTATCCAATAGTGGCACAGTAAGAGTTGAGATTGTCAATAGCCAGATTCTCTTGAGAGGATACTGATACGTCGCCCAGGTGAGAATTAGTCCTGTTGTTACCGTGGGGTCCCGGTCACGGTAGGCGCTTATTACTAATCATCGGAGTTTGAATTCAAGTCGCGTAGTCGTTTTCATAAAAGACGCGATATTTCATTCAATTTTGACATAAAGTGGGTTGCCTGGCGTGTGCCTGCATTTCTGTCGACTCAGAAGTTTTAAATGTGCCCAGGAACCTGCTGTGCAGAACGTGCGATTCTGTCAGGTGATTATGTAATCTTTTGATCCCCTTTGATTCGCCACAACTCAAATTGCGTTCGAACAATATAGAGGGCTTGAAATTTAGCCAAAATATTTCCATGGACTCTTATATACCATCTAATATGCCCTACAACAGTTCTAGGTGAGTTCAACCTTCAGGACAGGCCTCGCGCAATTTGCCGAAGTAAATTCAAACTCCGAAGATTAGTAATAACGGCCTACCCTGATCGGGACCCCGCGGTAACCAACAGACTTCAACAAGCCGAGGCACGAGGTTGCAATTGTTGAAGTGTCTGTCTAGGAGAGACTAGGTGAGAACAGAGATAGCAGAAAAGGTTCGAGGATGAGTTCTGAACATGGTAGGCTCGAAGAACAGATGCACTAGCCAGGCTAGCACCAGCGAAGAGCCAGGCAAGTCGAGATAGGACAGAGAGCATCAAGGTAGCGTGGGAGGAGAGCAAGTGGGAGTGGGAGTCCTCAGTCAATTTGGGAGTCGACCTTAGTCGGCAAAACCGATATCGTTGATGTGATCCGATGTGATCCGACGGAGTAAGTAAAGCGGTGCTTGATCCGACATAACGGAGTGAGCACAAAGTGGGCATGAAGCAAGTCTCAGAAATTAGAATCGAGAATCCGAGAGCCTGGCCATATCTTGTAACAAGGGTAATTGGTCTGTGAGATATTAATAACATAAATCTGAAAGATTGAACGCGCATTCACGAAAAATACATGTAGGAAAGATCAATCATCGGAGTTTTAACGTAGATCAAAAGTGAACTGAATTTTGCCGAGAAATGTCAGTAAACACGCTGCCAAGAAAGAATCTCACAGGCCAATTCACACCGGGATCTTCGAGATTTCGACGCTTGTGATATTGATTACGACAGTAAAAAGAAACAATTTGAGTATAAATGAGCCGAAACGGGAGCTGTGTCTAGTTGAACTAGAAACATTTTCCCAGATGTGTGTAGGTTTGCTTAGGTTTCCTTAGGTCTATATACGTCTGTGGAGATCAATGTAGGTGAGCATAGCTCTTCATAGTGACCTACTCCAAGGTCAAAAGGCCCTGATTTGCTTCCAGAGGTTGGATATTGATCTGACCACTATGTTGAACAATGATATTGTTGAGAAATCTGAAGAGACAGATCTGCTTGAAATTTCGCTGTCTATCACCCCAGCATGCCGGATTCAAAACCTGGTTTGAAATGAGCCTACACAAGTGAATTTGGCACAGTTTGGCAGGGGTTGAAATTGTGCGTGTTTGCCTAAGAATGAAACCCCAGCAGCACCTGAGAAAGAAATCTGGAAAGACAGACCTACTTGAAATTTCACTGTCTATCACCCTAGCATGCTGGATTCAAAACCCAGTTTGAAATGAGCCTAAATGAGTGAATTTGGCACAGTTTGGCAGGGATTGAAATTGTGCGTGTTTGCCTAAGAATGAAACCCCAGCAGCACCCAAGAAAGAAATCTGAAGAGACAGATCTGCTTGAAATTTCAGCTGGCTATCACCCCAGCATGCCGGATTCAAAACCCGGTTTGAAATGAGCCTACACGAGTGAATTTGGCACAGTTTGGCAGGGGTTGTGTGATGGATATTAGCCTTAGACTAGTATTTCTCCAATGAACCGTCTATCCTACGTGAACTTGAAACCCTCTAAGCTGTCATCAATTGTATCGATCAGCCATCAATTGGCCATCAATTGTAGATTGATCTGCGACGCGTCGCGTCGCCTTTCACATCCTGGCTACATCGCTTTCCGAGTCATTCAGTGCATAGCCTTATGACTCTTTCCGAGTCAGAGATTATTTATAGATTACTTCTAGGCATATAAAGAGGAGTCTCCCCTCTTGTGGAGACAATCTTTTCTCTCTTGCAATCTACGTACCAACAGCGTACTCTCTGACCTAAACATTGCGTGATCTTAAGTGAAGCCTAGCGCTCATTAAACATCATTGTAGTTACACTGCTGTCTAATTAACGCCTCGCGCTTATTTGGATTAGCTGACAGAGTGGTAAGCTTAGCTGATTTCAACGGGATTTCCGTCTTGTTGCCAATCCGGCAACACCAATTCATAAACCTCTTCATACGCCTGCTTCTCAGGCTCGCGCTCATCCTTCAAAACCCGCATGAACCCGGTTTCTTTCACACTGGTGGACACTTTGGGAAATCCCTCACTTGAACAGCTCGATTTACCATCGACACATCATTGAGATGTCTTCTGACACAGAGCGACCACCACGCACATCTACACCCCCGCAGCAGTCCCGTTTGGATGAGACTGCTCCGGAACTCGACGAGAATGAAAAATTCAATCTCGATCTTCTCCAGGAGTACAATGGCCTGGTCGATGACACCGAAGTTGACCCCAATGAGCCAGTAACTTCTATCCTCTTTGAAACTCCCAGGTTATCACGGTGGGCCTGCGAAGGTCTGTCTCGTTGAGGACGCGCATACGAGAGAGCGAAAGGTAGGCCGGGGAATTGAAGGCTAGAGGCTTGGTGGTGCGGTTGATTTGGCCAACTCCCTGTCCCTCTCTCAAATATTCGCAGCGGTGCTCGAGACGATTGGACAGCCATAATACATTCAAGGACAGATTTCAAGTACGCCGTGTTTCATATAGATTTATCGGTTCCCGTTGTGGCTTTAACATCTTGAGAGGGTAGAGCATGAGAGGAGATGAGCCATTTTGTCGCGGGGATCAAAAGCAGCTCAAAACGGTATTTTTTTGGCCGCGCCTCCGGTACTGTTATCGGCTGTAAAAGTGCGGAGGCGCCACCATACATCTCGCAAGGAAGTCGGATGATCGATGACGCTCCGATGAGGGGGCTGCTGCTGCCGAGACGTGCCACCGGCTCATCCTTATCATCTTATTATAGCTTGCTCCCTTTCGATGCAGCTGTTCTATTTTTACAGCCGATTTTGAGCTTCCTGAAAGCTTTTAATAGGTGGTGCAAATTTGGTGCAAATGATTAACCAATCGACTTTGAGCGTGTAGTGCATACTTTCCTCGTATAACTCATTTAACCTATCGCCTCCAACAACTTCCTCCAACTGTTGGCATCAGTAACTTTATGATAGTTTAGTTACCGGACCAATCACTGTATATAAGGGGAGACGACCTGCGCTCCTAACCTCGGTTTTTCCCATCATACATCTCCCACATTCAGCCCGGCATAGCCACGCACACCAACAACACCCTCCCGCGCTCTCTGACACTGTCACCATTTGCTCGTGGCAGATGACGACCATTCTCAAATTGCCACCAGAACTTATAGACACAATTCTTTTCAGGGTTGCGGGGGACACACGATTATGGAAGGCCAGTCTCAAATCATGCTCATTGGCGTCCCGCCTTTTCCTTTTCTCCAGCCAGAGGCTCCTTTTTCACTCCCTCCGTCTCCATACATCGAATGCGAAGACTCTGGCAAGGGCCCTCGATGCCTCCAAACACATTGGATCATATGTGCGCGATCTCGAAATTGATTTCGAAATCGACCGCCAGGACATGCAGGATGTGTCAGTCCAGCTATTACGTCGATTTCCCAAAGTCGAGCGCTCCTCACTATCTGTGGGTAGCCGGCTTACGGAGTTTTGCCAACAAACCACTCGTGCGGCCATCATCGACTTCCTCTCTCTTCCATCCTTGCGATGCATTCTATTTCTCGGCTGCGCTCATGGGCGCCGGCCTTCTTTCCTCCCTTCTTCAATCCTTATCCATGCACTCTCATCCTGCACAGCTGTGGCACTGCGTTATATCCTTGTGAAATCGGAGCGCGAATTTATTCCGTCTGCCGTTAGTCCGCAAGGAAGATCGTCACTTCGGCAGCTGGTGCTTGATCTCCCTCCAACGATGGTGCCGGCTGTCCAGGAGATATTATTAGACTCTGCGATAGTTTCAATGGATACTCTCCAGCATCT